CCCGTTGTGCGATGACTCCGGTATCATTATACCATGGTATGTGCAATTCCATGTAAAAACCTGAGGGCGCTGCTTGGAGTTTGAATACACAACCCTGTGCGATAACTCCGGTGTGTGCTGTACTCGAACAACGTACACACACGCACACCTTCAGTCAACCGGTTAGCGCGTTGGGTGCTATTCGAGAAAACATACGCCAACCAATTTGCGGCGAAATAAATCACGGCGACATGTGAAACCCCGCCCGTGGCCAAACTACGGTTCCCGCCCGTCCAGTTGTGCGCATGTGTGCGCGACACACAGCATTCACTTGTTGCCTTGGCGTGTGGCTACAATTTTCACTCGGGTGTCTCGGTCGAGTGGACCTTAAATATATGGAAGAAAACAAATATCTACTAGAAGTATGTAAATACCAATGTTTTTCATCTCCTTCGCATCTCCATGTGTGTGTGGGTTGCGACGATGCGACACTATATTTGTAAGCTTCAGCAACATTGCAGCACCGGTATGGTTATGGGGGCACAAGTTGCACCGGAATTGTCGGCACCCAACTATCTACCGAGGTTGCGGGTCATCGCACCCCTGTGCGAACACTCCGGACCCTGTGTGGAGATCGAAATAACTTTCTATCTTCGACGTTCAAAACACACACACACACACACACACACCTTTGCGATGACTCCGGTATGTATTGTGGTGCGAGCCTAAGTAAAACCCTGAAGGAGATGCTTGGGATTTTTTAGGGCACAACCCTGTGCGATAACTCCGGTTTGTGGTACCCGAATAAATATTTACGCATCGTACACACACGCACATCAGTCAACCAGTTAGCGCGGTGGATGCTATTTATGTGAGAAAACACCTACACAGAACAATTTGCGACGAAATATGAAATCGCGCCCGCGGAAAAACGAAGTTACCCACCGTCGGATAGTGCGCACTCGCGACACACAGCATTCGCTTGACGAACATGTCAGAGGATAGTCGTCGAAAATAGCGGGAGATCTATTGGAAATGAGCATCCCTGTGCCATTTTTCTTTTCTGTCGTTGTGATGTTTCAGTATTGTTTCACCAGGCTTTTGGCGCCGCGGAACGCGTCCCCGCGAAATAGAATGGCGGCAGTCCCCCCATTTTCGTGGTGAGACGTGTACTACACTTTTTCAGCGTATGTAGAGTACTTCACCTTCCAGTGTATTTTTTCGTACAGGTACAACCATGCAGGGTCACACAGGAGGGGGTATACACCAGGGCTTTTTTCTTCATTTTATTTATTTTCATGCCCCCCACCTTCCTCCTGCGGTGTGTGCTGAACTTTATTTTTATCGCGGGAAGGGTCCAGCCGTCCCTTTCCCCCTTCAACGGTGCTAACGGCGAAGTTTGGTATTCACGAGAGCCTTTTCGGCTTTGTTTTGCTTGCACCCACAAAGTTTGCAAATTTTTCACTCTCGAAGGGATTCGAACTCACGACCTCTGCGACTAGCGGTTTACGCGGATATTACTAGACCACCGGGGCGACCGGTGCATGTGTGGTAACGAACCAATGCGCCTCCTGGGCGCCCCCGAGAAGGAAGCGCGAGAAACGATTGGCTGCCGCCAGAGAAAGAAATACCGAAGCGCAAGAACAGGCCAAATCTTATACCATGGCACAGTCGGTGACCCGATACAATAGCGGTCGAATAATGCCGGTTGCCTGCTATAATGCCGGTGAAATCGGCTGACACAACTTCAAGCCGGTAGAATGCCGGTACCGGCATAATAGAGACCGACCCCACTATGATGCCGGTTCGGGGGGTTGTTGGCCAGTGAACGATGCCGGTTCTCAAGATTGCTTGCACACACAGGACTGCACACACAGCGAGGCCACCGTGCGCAACCGGAGACTGTGTTTCGCGGGCTTTGTTATGCGCATGGAGGACAGCCGCCTCCCCAAGCGCATGCTGTTAGGAGCGATGGCGGGGGGGGTGGGATACCGGGGCGGGCAGGAGAGCGACTGGGTGTCTCGTCTAGGAGAGGACCTCGTNGAAGCGAGTAGGGCGGCCGAGGCAGCACTTGTGGCGAACTATGTACCCGGCTGATGCTGTTGCGCCCTGTTTCCCTCCCTACTGTATGCTATAATCCTTCATGTATGTCCTTTGTATTGCCTTCGGCCTCTGTGCTGTGTTTCTTTTTCTCATGACCTCCCTGCCTACGCTGCTGTGTTGGGTACCTTGATCTCGCTTTGCTGTTGCCTTTGTACGTCTGGCTATCTGCCCATCTGCCGCCTCTTTGTCCTATTTTCTCCGTTACTCCCATGCCCTGGTGCGTAGTGCCTGGTGCTGGTACGTTACCCTTTGATTTTTTCTTTGGGCGAGTGTGGGAAGCGTCCTCCTTTATTTTTTTTTTTGTTTTATTTTGATCGGTTTCCGAGGGCTCTTTTCTTGAACGGTCGGTGCGATACCTGTTCTTTTCTTTCTATCATTTTGTTTTCTTTTTCCGAGTGGTTTGTACCCTATTTTTTTTTTGTTTCCCCGGGGTGTCGTATGTGCCGGGTTTTGAGACCACGGGCTCCCCATTTTTTGTGGACTATAGAGCTAATGTGAGAAACAACAACAACAACACACAGCACACCACCGTACACACATTTCTAGGCCATATTCCCCTACCAGCTGTACCCTACCGCACCATGAGGGACTGCTTCGACAAGATCTGATGCATGCATGCTAGTTTTTGAGTTTACTCAGCATCATTGTACCGTTGGTTGTCGTTGTTAGCGAAACACCAGCAGCCTGACCACCATATGCTGGATTTTCCTGTGTTGTTTTTTTCCCCTTGTTCTGTGTGAGCGAGTATTCGTCGGTTACGCGGCACGTAGTAAATGGGTGTGTTCAGATGTTTATTTTCGTACCGTTTGTTGCGTTATATTCTTTCTCGATATTTGCGTACGGTATGATTAATGTTAGTTTTTTCGAGTAAGTGACGGGGAGGCACTAGAGGTTAATGTTATACGTCAAGGAAGAGTTCGAGCACAGACACTGCTGAGCAGCTCCGCGAAAAAACAATGTCAAGGGGTAGAAACAAAGATGCATGGAGGGATGAGCTACCATACGGCGGTCCTTCGATGCACGCGCCTCTTCTGAAACCTGCCCGATCGCGGAATGCTTACCAAAACCTCCTGTCACAGCATCCACTGTCATAATGCCGGTGAAATCGGCTGTCAACCACCGGCATTATACCGGGCCACCTACTGTATATTTATATATATATTTATTTATTTTTCTCCCATCATTGGACTCTGTCGTCTGCCCCTCTGGCCCCTATCCTCCACTTCTACTAGCTAGGCGACCCGACCGGGGTCACATAGGAGGGGGGGGCTGGACCCCCTCCTGCGGTTCCTGCCTGAGGTATTTTTATCGCGAGAAGGGTACAGCAATCCCTTCCCTCGCGACTCATGAAGTCGATTATGGTTCACTAACACCGACCTTTGCAGCGCGTCTATGTAAGAGCGTATTTAGATATGAAACTTTTCTTCTTTCGGTTCGTTGAGGTTCGCTGGGCTCTTCGAGTAAAAAAACGCATCAGCTGTGAGAGCTTTTCGAGGTTGGAGAACGTCACCACTGGCAGCGCAGCTGTGGGCTGGTCCATCTGTGCGTTTGTTCATTTCATCTTACGTCACCCCTGGATGACTCTGTTCTTTATTGAGGGCTCACTTGTACTAAGTAAGATTTTGGGACGGTTCTGTGCTCGTTGCGTTCTGTACACTGCACGCAGCCTACGCTGTGAGCAGCAACTACAACTTTCCGCCCGGCTTCGCTAGCGGCTTCGATTCCATCCAGACCGCCCTGGCGATGATCACCACCGGCAAAGACCTCGACTGCGAGTACTCCGGGCTGGAAAGAGACCTCATTGAAGCCTTGGCGACTCGCTCATCCGCCGAAACCAAAGCCGCTGCCAACCCCGCGGAAATGAACTTTGGTGATTCTTGTTCGATGCTTTTTGTTTTGTTTTTTCCGTGACTTTTTAATCAGCGCTCACGGCATTTTGTTGCCGGATTTGGAGCTCCGATCCTTTTGTGAATGATGTTGGATGCTGGAATAGTAGGACACCACGTAGCGCATTCGACGATACGTTGAAGGGGGTTGTAGTTTTGCGGTGGTACACCGGTGTTGTGTCGATACGTCTGGATATTCGCACATTTTTTGCAGATGTTTGCTCCGCTTCTCCGAACAGAGGTGCTCGATTCTTAACCCACAAGTTATTCACTCCTCCGTGTTTTCCCTTGTCTCTCCCGGCCCGTCGTCATCAGGCAATACCCCGGAGCTCAATCTCAGCTTTTCAGGTGAGGGCGCGTGATGGAGATAAGTGTCGAGTCGACCAGGTGCAGAGGTTGCGCTGTTTGCTGCAGCGCCAGGAACACCACAAACGCCCAGGGCGCGTTTTAGTTCTTGCATCAGATGTGTCCGTTACACGAGTCTCTTTTCGCGCGGCAACTACTCTGCAGATGCGATGGCGAGGTTGTACGACAAGTATACCGACGACCTGGACGTGGCTATGTTGTACAGCGAGTCTCTGATGGCCCTCAACCCGTGGGCGATGTGGGTCAGGAAGGATGTTGAGGCCACTGGCGATGCCGAGATTGTGCCTGTGAATGGAAGCACTCTGATTGTGAAGGACGTTCTCGAGCGGGTAAGGTGCATGCGGGGCAAGTTCGTGATTGCCACCGCAGGAAAAACATTTTGGTGGTGTTTCTCTGTATGTTTTCTGCTCTTGCACGACCTCAACTCGTCATTCCGGGTCCTTCGCCTCTCAAAACCCGTGTTGCTGTGGTTAGGCAATGAAATTGCCGGGGGGCATGGAACATCCCGGCATCCTGCACCTTTACTGCCATCTCATGGAGCTCTCCGACGATCCGATTGCGGCGATGCCGGCAGCGGATACCCTCCGGAACAACTTTCGACACGCTGGCCACCTCACCCATATGGCCTCTCATATCGACATCTGGGCCGGGCACTACAAGGTGAGAAGAACAGAAGGATCAGCTGCTGCCTACACGTATTTTGTACGGGTTCCGTTTCGTCAGTGAATGGTGCGATGTTTCCACATGTTTGAGTGGCGTTCGTCCTTCATTCCATCCGGTAGATAGCACTCAACAGCTTGCCACTCGACAAGTTGGAGTTTTTTCACATCTATCGTATTCATCCGCAGACTTCCCATCCTGCGTCGGCTAAAACCTTCGTACGTTACTGTTTGGAGAAAAAACCTTCTTGCAACGTCGTGGATCAATGTGTCGACTATCTTTGATCCCGGGATATTTTTTTTTATGAGGCGCAGGCCGCGTTGGATACCAACTTTACCGCCATCGCCGCGGACGAGGCCACCGTGGAACAGACGGGGTGAGACGCTGGTCAGAACAGCTTCGGTAGGGGTAGAGTCACACTCGATTCGAGCAGGGATGGAGCCAAGTGTTGCAACATGATGTGTTCAGAGAGGTAGCGAAGGGTTCAGTTCATTTTTTCCGCAGAGGGTTTCTGGGCCCAGGATGGTGTCTGCTAAAGTAGAAGGCGATGAATGGCTGACAAAATTGGACATTAAAACTCTTCTCTTGCCCCTCGTGTGTGGTTGATTAAATGAACTTGCTAAAACATGGCGGCAGCGTCGAGACCAGCTTTTACAAGGGCTACCGCATCCACAACGTACATATGGCCGTTTGGGCGGTGAGTGAGATGCGCTCGTGTTCGCCGAGATAAAAGGCGTCGCTAAATCGTAGAGCACGTGAAGCATGCGAAAAATAAGTTGCACAGTGTATGCTGTCCGCAACGGCGGGCAGGGGTCGTGGATGCCGATTGTGTGTAGTGCATCACTCACACACCGGTGGCTGAGTGGATTAGTCCTCGCAACTTTATAACGTTTGGGACGTGGGTTCGAATCTCGGTGCAGCTACGCAGTCACACAAGATGCCCAAACAATGTGAAGGAAACTGATGATTTCGTGCGTACGCATAACATTCGACTCTACGGCCGACGAGGGAGGAACACCTGAATCCATCTCGGGATAAACATCAAGGCAAGCACCGCAGCAGGAGGGCAACGGAATAGTTCCTCTGTGGCCTTCCTCCTTTATTTGACCCCGGCTGGTGCGTCCAGACTTGTACCGAAACGTGTAAGGACCGACGTCCAGAATAAATGCGATGACGAAAACAAAGCCTACTGGAGTAGCTTGGAACGTTTTTCGTTGATGTAATCGGCTCACCCGGAGGTTTTGTTGTCCGAGCAGGCCATGTTCACCGGCCAGCAAGACGTCGCCATGGAAATGGCGAGGAAGCTATCGGCCATGCTTTCGCCAGGAGATGAAAACAGGCAAGTGGGGGCTATGCGTGTTCCCGCGACTCCCAGTAGCCCTCAGCCTCGAAACATGGTGTATCTGTGGCGGCGACCGGGTTGTTCCGCGGTCCGTCATTATTTAGCCGAGCTGTCAACAGGAAACTTGAGGGAGGGTTTGGCAGTTGCTTCTCTTGGGAATGAGAGGAATACCCATTTAATGTGTACATTTCATGGAAACCAGGTCACGTTTGAATGGTGCTATCACCGGTTTTCGAGATACCCGTCCCCGTGCTCGTGCTTGTTCTTGCTTGTCGTCCGACAGTGGAATCCAGTTCATGCTCCAAGGTCTCATCCCGATGGCCATTTTCTGGGAGCCTTACACCCTCGTCAAGTGGCATGCCATGATCAGGTTGAGTCGTCGACTGAACAATAGTTTCAAGAAACCCGTATAGCTGATCTGCTAGATATGATTGATTGGCGCCTGACAAATCACGAGCGTGTCGATCCCGCGTAGTTTCGGGTGGCTATGTAGTGACGAAGTCTGACGGTAGACCGTTGAAGGGAGAACGTTTTGCGCGATTGGTTGCGGAAAGACGTGTGCAAGAGGCGTGATTCCAACGCGTCAGCCCTTCATGTCGTTGTGAACCGAATATTCGTGACTGCGCGACGTACAGGTCTGAACCACCGCATGAGATGCGATCGGCTCCCTGCAGTCTTGTTTGCTCTCAGATTGAACAAAAAGCAGGAAGGAGCATCCGTCCCCGTTCTTCTCAAGACTTTTTTTTTGTCTGTTTGTCTGGTTTGTGCAAGGTTCGGGCTGTGGGACGAGATCATCGCCGAGCCGCGAGACGAGGACCCAGCCTTGTACCCTACAAGCTTGACAACTGCCCACTACGCCCGTGGTATCGCTTTTGCCTCAAAGGGACTGGTGGCTGAGGCCGAAGAAGAGCAGGTGTGGTTTACCTATCCGATCTTGCAGTAGACAGTTTTTCATCGCGACGCCGAGTTATCAGTTTTTTCCCCCTTTAGGACCGGACCATAGATGAATAGGACATGAGAGTTATCCTGCTGAGGAAGGACCAGCAAATCAAGATGGTTTGTTGGACCGGACCATAGATGATAAGACGTGGGAGCTATGGTACTGAAGACGAACAAATAAAGACTTTTTTTTTCATCAATTCCCGAGAATGTTGTTACCCCCTTCTTGGCGATCTAACCGTGCGTCAGGCGAAGTACCTCGAAGGCATGAAGAACCCTGCGCTCGTCGGACGCATGATTCACAACAGTGAGTGACCCCCACCACGCGTGGCGAAACGTACACACCAGCGCGAAATTCGAATAAATGTCAGAGAGGGCGTGGGTATGCGATCATAGGCGGACCTGTGGCTGCGTGTTCTCCTCCGGAGATAGTTACCACAGCTAGCATCAAGTTGCGTAGAGTAGCGCAGGCTACAGCGTGCGAAAGGAACCCCATGCCGATGCACTGAGCGGGAGACGGGCGACTTCCGCTGGCCAGCATGCAGCAGCGCCACAACCCTCGAAGGGGTTGCTGTTGTGGAGAGCTTAAGCTGGAACTGGCGAATGTGTGAGTGTTCCAGAGATGTCAAACAGCCGAAAGAGCTGGTTACGACTCACCCGATCTCCATTGTATGCCTCAACTCTGCTCACGAGACCCACCTTCCCGGCGACGTTAAAAACACACACCTACGCAGATTTGATCGTGTCTGATGAGGCGCCCTGCCTTTTCAAGGTCGGAGAGGCCATGCTCGCGGGGGAGATCGAGTACCGCAAGGGGAACTTGAAAACGGCGTTTGAGCGTCTCCGTGAGGCTGTCAGGTACGCTCCATGCTCCGCAGCGTGACAGAACCGATGGAAACAGCCTTGAGGTCGTCCGTGTTGTAAATGTTTCCGGATCAGCATGCGCCCTTTCCGACAACATTGCACTTGCGTGATCGCTTGGCACGCGCCCAGACTCCTCATCGCCGCCCTTGTCTGTGTTCACGGCACTCCGGTTCATGGTGCGAGTGAAACCACCCATTCTCGACTCTGCCCACCTCCGGCGTTTTATTTATGCCCATCCCTGCTCACCTCCACGATCCAAGCGTATCGCTTCAGACGGCGATTCATTCTTCGGTTCCAAATCAAACAGCTTTTCCGCCAAGACCGAGCCGAGCTGTCTTTCCATAAAGCCATAAAACTTTTCTTGTCGCCTCGCGCTGAAGGTTGGACACGAGCTTGGTGTACGATGAGCCCTGGGGTTGGATGGTCCCCAGTCGGCACGCCCTCGGTGCTCTCCTCCTTGAACAGGACCACATCCAGGAGGCAACAGAAGTGTTCAGGTGATGAAGGAGGTCATGCTATTGTAGTCGCTTTCGGTCGGCGCAAAAATGGTTGGTTGTTTGCCGTTGTTTTCGCGAAGCAGTCCATACGCACCTCTGTGCTTCGGGTGGACACCACAGCAGAGCAATTGCTGTCGACTGCACAAGAGGGCATGTGATCGAAAGAGAGCAGATTAGTGGTGCCACACCGAGGAGTGCGTGTTTTTACGGGGTTACCCGGACATTCTGAAATGCTCCATCAGGAAGTTCTAACGGCAGTGCCATCTTTGTATGAACTGCATGTGAGGGCTATATTCTGAAGGTTTGTTTGCATCTTTCTACAGCCGACTCGTTGAAACTCTTACTGCTCACCCCAAATCCCGGACAACGATGTTGCCACGCCAGGGCGGACCTTAAGATGTACCCGAGCAACATGTGGGGACTCCTCGGACTATTTCAGTGTCTCGATAAGGCGGGCGATCCAGAGGTGGGTGCTTCGTGTCCTGACTTGGATCTACTTCTACTTGTTCATAATGAGAACAGAAAGCATGTCTCCTCCCTCTCGACGTGATGGTGCTGTGTATTGAGGTTGACGTACGGGATTGACTTACGGGAGATTTTATGCATAGTGTTGTTTCTGTTCTCATCTCTTTTCGACAAATTCGCGTTGTTTCGCGGAAACAGACTGTCGAGGTCAAGAGGCGCTACGATGAAGCGTCGTCCACAGCCGAATCCAAGCCAGCCGCAACCTGCTTCTGCGCGAAAGTTGCCGGAGCTACCTCGCCCACACCCTGCCCGCTTTAAACGCCACATTGGCTCATGGCAGAGACCGTTCAAATTGTTTGCGATCGGAAGCATGCGAAATACAAGTAGGCTTCCGCAAAGCGTCCACAACAATTGTCGCCTATCATCTATCGCTGCACGGCGTGTAACGTATAAATCTAGACACAGACACTAGCATACGAACCAAGTTCGGTGTTCCGTTTGTGAGGGATAAAACTTCAACCTGGGGAAGTTGCGGTATTAGGGGGGTTGCGGGTTTTCTTGTGACTGGGATGCGGGAACGGTTACGATCTCTCAACAGGATTTGGCCGAGGATGTGGTGACAAAGTTTGGGGTAACTCGTGCTTCGAAGTAGTCAGGAGACCCCCTTCGCCGGCGGGTTCGAAACTGGAGGAGATCGCCGGAACTTCCCAGACGTGGATGCTCCGTTTCGGTCGTTGGTCGAATGCTTGTGTGTTGGCTTGTCACCCGGACATTCTGAACGCGGCGAGGGCGGTAGCGAGGTACTCTTACGCGCCGCCGAAGCTTGTACACTGGAACGCGGCGTTGCACATCGCCAGGTACAAATGTTCTTTACATAGTACTATAGCTATGGGATTGATTTCAGAGGGGAAAGGGTGGTAGTGGTATCGATCTGGAGTTGTACATGGATTTGGACTACCCAAGCAAGAGCAAGGACCGGGGGCAGGTCTGTTTTTCCGGTGGGGTTGAAAAGTGCGTCGGTGCAAGGGTATCGTTTTCTCTTGGAGGCAGAAGAGTATCATCGCGCTGCCCTCGGCCGGGCAGAGTACACGTCGCGATGGCTGGTGGATTCAAGGAGGTGCTTTTCTGCGGAATTTCTGGAGTTGTTTATCTCGCCGGACCGTGCCGTGGAATGCACCACGGTTATGGAGGACAACGAACCCGAATTTGAAGCACATCGACGTGCGTTATTACTCAAATCGGGAACGGATCCAGGGTAGCCTGTGTACCGTCGGAAGAACAGCACGCGAACTTTCTCACCAAGACGCTCAACGAGAATGCGTTCGTGGCATATCGGAACGTCGTCATGTATTTTGGTTGTGTTGGTCACGCACAGCAGTGCGAGGTGTTGAGTGGCTATGATAGGGCCCTCCATGTTTGAAGCAGCATTTTATCGAAAAGGCATGAAGTGGCCTTTAGATTTGATGTTGTTTTCCTGGAAGGAAAATCGACACATTCTGATAAGCCATGGTTGCAGGCCTCCGTACTAATGAAATATCGCGAGAGCTGGTCAATATTATCGTTGGAATGCGTTGTGTGAGTTTGGCGCGTGCGAAATCAGAAATTGGTCGAGTTTGTAGTTCATGATTTTCCGAGGAACATTTTTGTGTTGTTTCGAACGATGGCACGGTACTTTTGGTTGTTTCTAAGGATATTTGATGTTTCAGCCGCTCCAGAAGTTTGTACATAACTTGCTGATAAACGTAGACGCGCCATTCATTGTTGTGGGTCGTACACTGTAGAGCAAGGAGTTAAGACGAGGATACCTTTCTGTAGAGGTTGCACTGTTTGAAGTCTTGGATATTCAAGGTAGCTCAATTGGGGGTTATTTGACCCGTGTTGAAGCAGGACTAATTGGAAGGTTGTCCCTGCCGTTTCTCTTGTAGTTTTTGGAGAGTTGCTCAGCAGATCATATCTCCACCTATAAGGGGGGGGCGGTGTACTATTCTCGATCTATCGAGCGCACCCCCTCGGAGAAGGAACGGGGGTGTTGATTTCTTTTGTGTCTGTTCTGTGGGGCCTCTGGCCATGTGGGAGTGGGTAGGTTAGAGGCTGCAGGGTCGCGTCCCCGATGTGTGAGTGTTGCGCCTCTACATTTGGTTGTATGGTTTGATGTACGTCGTGTAAGGGTGTGGATGGAGGTGAATAATACAAAGAGGCAGGCAAGGATAACTTCAGGGTTCGGCGGGGTGTCATCAACCGCAACGGAGCACATACCCTCGTGCGTGACGTTGAAACACAATCAGACAGCTCGGATCGTTCCATGCATGCTCGAGGTTGAGCAAGCGTGCCTACAGTAGGGACGAAACACCAGAAACATTTCGAGAGGTAACCATCTCACCTCCAAACTACTGTGTGCAGCAAGAAAAGAGTGTGCCTGATTCGATTCTCTCAAAACGACGCATTGTCGGCGATGTAGCGTTGTCTTGCCGAAAGCAACCGGCGGATTGGTGCCCATTTCAGCAAATAGGGTTACGGCCAACCCGAGGTTCAGCCGTTCGGGTTGTTGTAAAGCCGCGTGTTGGCGGCGCCAGTCTTCAACACTCGGTTGTTCCACTACCAACAGGACGCCCCAAGGTGAATGAAACGTACTCGGAAATGTCACGATGAGATCTTGGCAATGCCACTCTCGCGCCGACATTGCTTATTTCCTGTGGAGGATCGAGAGTGTTAAACTACGGCCGAAGGGGGTCTGATCAACTCTCTGTCCAAAAACACAGTATCCCATCGGAATACCTACCCTGTTAGAGATATCAACGCGAGCCCGCCACGTGCAGAGCGGAAAACCCAAACAGCACATGCACAACACGAATCTCCCCACGTACAACACATGCCCGAGTTCTGGTTCGCTAGCAAAACAATTAACAGCCTACAAGAAGCCTGCGGCACGGTTCGCCGTTGCAGCAGACGTACAGCAGCGGTGGTGGAAAAAGACAACAAGCGAGGCTCCCTCATCGGCAAGTGGCGCGCTTGCGCAGTGCAACACCTTCCCGGGATGGACGAGCTCTGAATAAAGAAGACATTAAAACATCAAACACATGATTAGAAAGATAAGGTGGATGCACTCCTTCGAGTCCCTCTGCAACACTTTCGCAGAGTCGAGCTGAATTGACGATCGTCCCAACAGTCTACGCTCGTGCTTCCAAAGCAAGTCCAAGTTTCGAAATCAATCCTGCCCGTGCAGTGTGCATGAAACTACTGTAGGCCGCGTGATCCTCGTACGTACGACGACGGCAGGGGGGTGGTGGCCAGCAACTACGACAGACCACCACCAGAACAACCACAACATGTAACGCAGACCACACTCCGAACCCCCAGTCTTGCCTAATAAGTACAAGGATGTTTGCAGAATGACGGAAACAATACTGCGCGCGAAGAAGCCGCCAGTGCCCTCGCGCTCGAAGCTCGCGTTCACGGCCGTCTGATGTAGCAACACGAGGCAGCGCAGGTATGGCCGCTGAATTCTAACTTCGGAGATGTTGCGCTGCTGCTGCTGCTGCTACTCAACCACTCCTTCTCCTTCTGCTCCTGTCTCGCCTGCAGTTCCGACGAACACAAGCACGTTGCGAATAAGTGCCACGTGGTTCGCACGGTGGCCGCCAAACTATAAGGAACATTGATGGACGAGTGGCTTGCAAAATGTGGTCATTTTGGGATGCCGCCAGGCAAAAAGCGAAGCAGAGGCGGTACCGCAGTGGCGGCTACGGTTTACGAGAGGGTCTTGCCAATGTTAACAACGGCAGCAGTCATCATCAAGCACCGAGCCGCTGTCACAGACAAGAGGCTGGAACAAACAATGCAGCGGCATCCATACCAAGAGAGCACCGGCCGGCGCCGTCAACAACCGATCCGAGTGGGGTCGACACCATGATGGACGCAAGGAAATAAGGCAGCCACATTCTGTTTTGGATGTACGCCGACTCTGCACAACATACTTTGATGGGCTATGATGGGTCGTGGCTGTCCGGGTACGAATATATAATGTTGATGCTGGTCGCGGCGCTAGGGGTATGGGGGCCATAAACAGGAATTGAATTATCGGACACTTCCCTGTTTGCCCTCTAGAGGTGTTGAAGAGGCGGCGGCCATGCCGCATCTACGAAGAAGGGACCACTTCAACATGTCTCTCCATGTCACGTTTTCACGAACGTTGTCAAGCACCAGGTGTTTACTTAACACCCCTGACGTGGAAAAAGTTAATACAAGCCCGACAGAGTGAACGTTACCACTCGTTAATCACATGTAATGTCTCGTTTGTGACTGTTGTGTGAGAACCCTTTGAGGCCGTTCGCGTGTCATCGCTTCTCCATGAGAGAGAAGCTGTGGCCATGTACGTCAACCTGTGGGTCTCCAGCAACACTACTTGTCAATCACCTGACACAAAGAGAAGGAAATCGCCTGGATAGAACACCTCCCTCCACGAGAGACGTTTTACTGCTGCGAAGAAGCTACGCACTGGGGATGCCACTGCAGCAATTTCGGCCAGCAAACCGGATCTTCTTGCCAATTCGTTGGTTTGAGGTAGACCAGAGAGCGCACCCCACACAAGCACGCGTAAAGCTTGCTGCCTGCACCAACCGGCGCGCTGGGAGGGGGCTGCATAGTCTTCCTGGCCCTACTAGTCATTGTCACACAAAGCTCCAAGCCATAAACAGCATTCTGAAGGGGTAACGAGCGTGGAATGTAGATGGCTTTCTCTGAGAAATATCGCTGAAAAAAACACGCGACAAGTCAAGTTGCCTTCAAACAAGCACATCAAAAAGGAGCGAGCACGTTCCACGCCTGAGAGCATATACCAACGATTGCAGCCGCCATTCCCACGGTAGGGTGACCGGCAGAGATTGCCCTATGCCATGCAGTCACCCTCAGACCGTTGATACGTGGTCGCCATCAATGTATGGACCCCCGGCCAGGCTTATCTTGATTCTGCTTCAACACAAAAAGAGACATGTTTGCTGTACACAGCAATAGTCACCAGCATGGGCGTCAAAGGGGATGACACACCAAGCAATCTCTGACCTCTCAGGTAAGGGTGAAGCTAAAACTTCCGGGGCTTCCACCTCTGATAGAGTTTTCCGTCTGAGGCTGTGTAGATTGATTGCCTGCTGACTTTGTCGCTACGTTTCACTCTGCATCTACAACTGCCGGGACGAGAGAGCGGGGATGAGAGACCACGCTGTAGTCTACAACGAACCGTACTTCCGCAAGAATCCTTGTTTTTCGACAAGTTGTTTATCCTTTTCTCGCCGTCGAGCGCTCTCGTTTTGCTCCTTGAAACCCTCACCGTTTTGATTCATGTTGTCTTTTCAATATATGTCTAACCTGAGTGAGGGCAAGCTCACCCAGGCGGAGTTCATTGAGTAAGTAAGTAAGGGTGACAACCTTCAAGGATCTACCATCATGTGGGACCAAGAGGCCAAAGCACACTGCCTTTCGCTCCACTCAAATTTGTCGGGGATTGGTTACTGGCACAGAAAAACAAAGATGATGTTTCTTTGAATTTGCGGTGAATCAAACCGACAGCAGGCTCCTTCACCTTTGGGCGAGATAGGAGCAACCGATCTGAAAGTTTTCACCACACCTTGTAGCATGGATCTATGCGCTCATCACGCACGCGTCGCTGCACGTGTCGCTGCACACGGGAGCCTAGCTGCTTGCAAGCGCAGCAGCAGCTGGCGTGCTATGCTGCCATTTTCGGCTGTCTGACGTACTACAAGGAAGATCCGGTGCATTGGTGCTTGATTTTCCGCTAGAAAACGAGCAAGCAAAGCCCTTCTCCTGATGTCGGACATGCTCGTTTCACAAGCAAGTTAGGTACGGGATAAAAACGAAGTGCCCAAGCAACCCAACGTTTCCACGGACGGAAAGTGAACACAGCAGTTGGGAGCCAGCACGTTTTTCCCTTTATTCCTGATCCAAGAGGGAAGAACTCGGTTGCAATGTATTTATTACCTTCTCGCGTTCTCGATGTGGATGTTATTTTAGATCGGATCACCTACTTGAATTGGACAACGGGACCCAAAAACTAGCTCCTGTGGCCCACACGCCACGCCGTAGCGCTACATTGATCTATTCCGTACGGGTACAGGGTTGTTTGGAACCTCTTGGTCTCTCGAAACGTTGAGTATTGTGGCCACAGTCGTACCTTGAAGCACCCGGGGCGGGGGTCTAACCGTTCCTTTGTCAAAGCCTTGTTTCAATGTAGATGGGAAGTCAACAACAACAACAACCGTAGATCCACGCAAAAATCCACAAAAATCTATGGATTCACTGCTAATCTATTTAGACTTATATTTTAGACTTATTTCTCTAGATAAAGATGGATTTGTTGTGTGATATATATATATTGACAGTTTCGGACCCCAAAAAAATACTCATTTTTTTTATATATTAAGAAAATAAAAATAAAATCTGGGCCAATGCTGTGAAGGAGTGAACACACGGTGTCGACTACTAGTTTAACGATACGTGCGGAGGTATACTCATTCTTGGTGTTGGTTGAGTGTTGAGGTAGACTATTATAGCTTCGACCTGTCTCGATCATGCACTACAGCTTAAGCATGTAATATGCGTACCACCTTCCTATGGAACTTGAGCACCGTTCCGCAATTCCTGGTGACCTGCAATTGCGCCGCATTTTTTTCAAGCGAGAGGACAGAGGACAGCAGCACCAGCAACACCATCAGCACCAGTCTCCCTTCTCGCTACCTCTTCCACCAGAGTGCGTCGAGTGCGAACCACGGTACCAATTCTCTGAAGGACACGTCGCGCTCCTCCACAATGGATGCCTTCCTAGCGCCGTTCATCAAGTCCGCGAGGGGCAAAAGGCCAGGTGGAAGAACCAAAGGCCAGGCGGAGGGCGGCAGCGTGGTGGTGTCCATCTTTGACGTCCCGCCTGGCTTGCTCGCAGGCGCCAGGCCGCAAGATGGAGCCTTGCCGCCTTCTATGGGTCAGGCGGCGGCGGCGGTAGGGTCGAGGACAGGCTCCACCAAAGCCCGCAGCGATGGCGCTGTCGCCCCTGCCGATGCGAGGGGGCTCACCTGTAATCGGTGCGGGCTCAAGTTTGGCGGTGACCGAGCTGTGCAGGTACAGCATTTCAAGTCTGACCTGCACATGGCCAACCTGCGCCGGCAGCTGGCCGGCAAGCCCCGCATTTCTCAGTCGCAGCTAGACGATGAAACGGCGACAGCAGAAGCAGCGGCAGCAGCAGAAGCAGTGGCAAGCGACGGGGGCACGGGGTCGGGGGCAGCAGCTGAAGCGGAATCGTCGTCATCGGGCACGGACAGCGATGAAGGACCGGGCTCAGTTGGCGCCACCGAACGGGGTCTTGACCTTGATGGAGTGAAGGAAGAGGAGGACACGGGCGACGGCGGGCTTCTCTCCACCGTGGGCGGAGGCGGCGGGGCCGAAAACGGCGACGATGAGAGAGGGAGGGTGAAAGTTGACTTTTCGCTCCAGGAGGGGCCGAGGTTGACGTTCGTACCGCGGGGCTCCGCCTGGGCCTTCTCTTTGAGCTCCGCCGCGCTCGGCATGGAGCGCGGGGACGACCCTTGGGCGCGCCTGGATAGCCTGGTCGGCACCGAGGGGGAGAATCGTCTTTGGGCCGTTGTGATCCTCAGGAGCGGCAAGTTCGCTGCTGCGGTGTTCGAAGGGCAAGCTGTTGTATGCCACAAGGTTTTCCGGAGGTGCGAAAAGTGTACATTTGCATACGGTTGCAGCAAGGACGTGTCGCGTTAGATACCACCCCCCCCCGCTGGACCGCACTTCAAAGCTCGGTTACTCCACGATGACAGAGCTCTCGACGAGGCGGTTCCATCGCTGCCATTTTCGGCATTGCCATTTGGCTTTTTGTGTTATTGTATTGGTTGGAAGATTATTCACAAAGGACTTCCAGATCGTATTTTTTATCAAGCAGGGGGGCTGTTTGGGGTATTGGATACAGGATCCGATCTGCAGAGTTTTTGTGGGGGGGGTATACTATTGGGGGTCCGATTGCGGGGCCCCTCGTGAGAGCCCGCGCATGTGTTCACTGAAACAGGACCTGTGCTGACTTCGGTCCGTGCTGGAAGAGCACGTATGTGTATTAATCAAGGTTCATATCACCTGCATGGGTCCCTGGGTTAACATCGTCCCCAACAGACGTCATACCGTGCGTGGGCATGGTATCCTCCGTGGGTGGTCACGGGGGCATACTAACACCATAATTTTTTGCTACAGAATAATCCAGCCGTGGAAATCGATCCACGTGGTACGGCATCTTGTTCTCTCTATACCCGTTCGGTACGTGCGTCGGTGTTCCCGCTGCTGTTATAAATTGAGTTTTGAAGTCCACCCCTCCGTTCCTTGACTAACTTCCCTTCCGCTCTATACCCGCCACACTTGTAGGTACACTATCCGAGCGAAACGAGGCGGGTCTCAGTCTTCCTACGACAGCGGCGGGAGGAAGGCGCAGTCTGCCGGGGCAGCGCTTCGGCGGTACGGAGAACAGGCGCTACGGGAGGACGCAAGGGCGCTCTTGAAGGAGTGGGAAGGTCCGCTCAAGGTGCGCCCGAGCTTTTTTTCACCTCTCCCTTGGTTTGCTTGTCCATGTAACTGCCGCGCTCCCGCCTTTGTTGCCGCGAGAACTCCGAAAACCTCTGATAGCTGGTTTGAGAACAAGTAAGTGCGGATCGTGGGTGTTCCATTTGAATTTTCTTGAGCAGGATCTAAAATGTCACGATGCCGGTGCCCACCTCGAACGAATTTGAACGTGTCCCCAGGCCTGCCGCGTGGTCCTTACCTCGGTCCCGAAAGGAATGCGAGCCGTCCTTTTCGACGGCAAGGAAGCCCCGTTCGACAGGAAAGATGGCCGTCTCCGCCCCGTTCCGTTCGCCGTCGGCAAACCCGTCTTCGAGGAAGTCGTCGCCATGCACACGCGCGTAACGTCGATCGTGTTCTCGGATGCCGCGGCTGTCCCCGCCGGTGACCCTGGGCCAGCGAGCAACACGGAGGGGAGCGGGGGAGATAGCGTCAGCAGCAAGCAGGCGAAGAAGCAAGCCAAGGCGACGGCGGATATGGCGGAGCCGCCGGTCGCTCGGAATTGTGACGAGGAGGCGTGCCCACCTTCGGTGGAACTCCTAGAGGCGTGCGAGCAAGGGGACGTGGACGCGGCGGCGGCGCTCCTGGACCGCTTGGACCTGACCGCAGCGGCGGCGGTAGCGGGAGATGCCCGCGGTGCCGGCGGCGCGGCAGCGGGAGCGGCGGCAACCGGTTGGACGGCAGGGGAGGTTCTCAACCACCCCGACGGGTTCGAGCGGCTCATGACCCCGCTGCACGTGGCGGCGGCCGGCGGGCACGTGGCCGTCCTCGGCATGCTGCTAGAGAGAGGCGCCAGCCCCCTTGCGGAGGACGTACGTGGGAGAGTACCGTATCTGCTGGCTCCGAACAAGGATACCCGGGATGCGTTCCGGCGGGCGCGGGCCGGGCAGCCGGAGAGATGGGACTGGGACGCGGCCAGAGTGCCGGAGCCGTTAACAGAGGTGAGGAACAAGAGTAACGCCAAAAAGTAGTCGAGAAGGGGACTTAAGGGTGAGGTGTAGTGTTTGTGATACTCCGGCAACTTCTGTGTTTGGTTTTTCTATCTTGATCAGAAAGAGGCAGGTGCAGCAAGCAATTTATACCTTCTTTTGTCTCCGAAATGTTGAACATGAGCGGGGGCCCGGTTTTGTCCATTTTCATGTGCTGCGGAGAATACGAGTTTTTGTCGCAATGCGTGCGCACCCACGATTTCGCGTGCTGAAACTCTGATGTTGGGGGACTGGCTGCTGCTGCCGCTGATTGGTTCAGGAGCTCGAGCAGCGGAAGAAGGAGAAGCTCAAGGAGAAGGAAAAGGAGAAGAAGCGGCGAGCGAAGCTTCGAAAGAAGGTCGAGAAAAGCAAGGCCGAAGAGGAAGCTCGGCAGAAAAAGGTACGCCTTTCTTTGGAGGAGAGTGTGAAAAGAGAAATTTACTGTTTCTCTGTGTGCGTGCGCCCAATATCTACGATAGAAAAGATCGCGCCACAATTTAAGAACCTTGGAGTTGAGACATTCCGCCTCCAGAAAATAGAAGCTTTCGGACTTGACCAGTAGCACAGGTGTGTATTTTTGCAATCCTACACTACAACCTACATAGGTGCTGCTGAGTGACCCCGCAGAGTAATTTAGAAACCGTCCTGGGACAATTTGAGTTTCTTTTGGTAGTGGCGTCGTCTGTATGGTACGAAGTAAGTACCATGGAAGCATATTTTATGACGCCGAGGCGTCGTCCTACCGTCGTCGCCGTGTCCGCTGCCGCTTTCAAAACCGTCGAAACGGCACGTGCTTCGGCCTCCTGTTTTGGCTGCTGGTGTCACCCACCCCTCGCCGCTTTTACTTTCCCTACTGCGGTGGCCTCCTCCGCAACAACCTCCCCGCCCCCCCCCCCCCCCCCCCCCCCCCCCCCCCCCCCCCCCCCCCCCCCCCCCCCCCCCCCCCCCCCCCNACTGTGGTCCGGATTCGACGAGCACGTACCCCCCCCCCCCCCCCCCCCCCCCCCCTTCCGTTCCTTCGTCTGCGTCGCCCCGCGGACAGCCTTCGATACCAACTGTTTTTTTTTTTGCTTCTCAACTCCGGCGCTTCCCCACTCCCCAACCCAGGAGAAAGAGGACGCGGAAGCCGAGGACAGGCTCAAGAGGGGTCTGGCGGCCGCGGGGCACTGCGACGCGTGCGGCAAGGCGTTGGTAGCGAAGAAGGCGTTCAGCCGCTTCGAGTTCCGTTACTGCAGTACGGACTGCGCCAACCAGCACAAGCGAAAACTCGCGGCAGACGCCGCAGAGCGAAGGTTTAATGGCGGCGGCGGGGTCGGGCAAAAGTGAAGTATTTTTGGACCTTTGCTTGCCAAGTCGTTCTCTCTTGCGCAACGTACGCCAAGAGCTTGGCGTCCTATCAGAAATTGCTCTTTCTGGAGGTACGATACTTTTTCCAACTGACAAAAGAGTGGAGTGTGATACCCATGGTGAATAGTTCGGGCAACTGAGGGTTTTCCACTCTGTTCCGTGTGTTCCGTAGCGAACATGTTGTGGTAAGGGCGCTCGCTTCCATGGTTATACGACGGTTATCCCGGCACTTGGCGAGCGTGTCGTGTCCGAAGTGCGGGGGTTCCGTGGTGAAAAGGCGTCTAGGAAGAACCCTGTACAAATACAAATGAAAAAATATAAATGGTAATTGTGCGCGGCCGCAAGTACCTGTAGTTTGTCTCCAGACAAATGATTTGCGCACGATGTTGACCCAGAATTTGTCTCCAGACCAATGATTTGCACACGAGTTCGACCCAGGTATTTGTGCCCACACAAATGATTTGCACGACTATGACCCAGTACTTGTGCCCACACAAATGATATGCGCGCGATTTTCCAGAGAGTATTTTTCTAGACACTTCTATTTGTGCACGATCACGATTCTCCCGAGAACATTAGTATTCGTCTCCAGACAAATACCAGGTTGCTATTTAACAGGATATGCATACATACAAGAACAGTAATAATGCATACTAATATTATCCCTTCGACAAGCCAGCCAAATATAGTGGAGAACAGAAAAGAGGCACTGTCAGCTGACGCGACCAGTGCACACGTGCGCACACCAGTCGCACACACAACACGCTCGTCCTGTTCTGACCTGCTGACAACAAGGCAGAACATTTATATTTGCACACATACAGTAGTAATTTGACCCAGTATTTGTCTCCCACACAAAAACGGTGATTGCACACGATTTTGACCCAGTATTTGTCTCCAGACAAATGATTTGCACACGATTTCGACCCAGCATTTGTCTCCAGACCGATGATTTGCGCACGATCTTGGCCCAGTATTGGTCTCCAGACAAATGATTTGCACACGATTTTGACTCAGTAGCTGTCTCCAGACCAATGATTTGCGCACGATCTTGGCCCAGTATTGGTCTCCAGACAAATGATTGGCACACGAGTTTGACCCAGTAATTGTCTCCAGACAAATGATTTGCACACGAGCTTGACCCAGTATTTGTGTCCAAACAAATGATTTGCACACGATTGTCCAGAGAGTATTTGCTTCGAGACAAATATTTGCCGCAGATTCTGAACAAGTAGTTGCCAAACAAAACGAATGGCAAATGAGTATCCGTGCAGGGTGTGGAAACTGCTGTGCTTGTACCTTGGAAGTAGAGGAACAACACCAAGAGTTCATGTCTTTCTTTTCTTCTGCTGCCCGCCCTCCGGGCTCTCGACGGCTGCTTGTCCCACGCGAGTCCGGGTGCGCGCGCTCGATCAAAAATACGTGTCGTCAAACGTAAGCAAGTAACTGCGACCTTAAAACATCCCACAAATACCACAACGACCGGTAGTAGCACACGTGCTCATCCACCGCTGGAAACGAAAGCAAGAATTCCCAGAACACGAAAAAAACACGACGCACACCAACCCGCGAAAACTATGCGTGCGTTTGCGCTCTCGACTGCGCACTACAGTTAAGCCGCTTCCTTTCGTTCCCGTTTACATTAAGGATCTCGTGACGTGACCTATGCACCATGAAAATATTCTCTTTCAATTTCGATGTAAACGATGTTATACACAAAATATCAAACTCCAAGCAAAACTCCCCCGCGCTTTACACCTTAAACGACTGACACAACAACAAACAACCCTTTTCAACTACTACCGATGGTGCTCACCGACCCTTCGCCGTCGACCTATGCATCGGAACTTCCTGCATTCAGACAGTGACTTCCCGGTGTCTTTCCGCTTTCACCTAAAAAAATAATCCTCTCCTGTACTACTCTCATGATGCACAGCCGCTCTTCCCGATCGACCCTCGCACGTTGGCCTACCACGGGAACTTCCGGAAAAATACGCAAAACAAACGCATCAACATCCGACGCAGTGGGCGAACCTGAAAGCAGCCACCAAGCGGCGAGATGTACACAAGCGATGCTCTCCATCATTTGGCCATGTTCGCCAACAGCGGATCACCGTCATCATGGCAATCAAGCAACCAGGCAAGCAGAATGTGCTACCCCACGTATGCTACCCAACCCCCTCCCGCACACCACTTACCAGTATGTGTCGTGCCAGAAACGTAAGAGCCGACCGGGAGATTGCCCGCCTCCTCCTCGTATGCACAGGAAACAGTCAAAGAGCCGACATGAGACACACCGATCATCGGCTACAGTCTCACCACAACGCCACGCACCGCCATCCAAGGACCTTCGGCCAATCAGATTTCGTTGTGTGTGTGCAGAACCAAAACACGACAAGACCGCTGGGACAACAGCGGGCGAAAATCCTGTCTCGAGTCTCGACCTTAACGATATCGCCACGCACCGCCATCCCCGTAGGTTGTCGGAAAAATCACCCATGTGGATGTATGTGTGCAGAACCAAAACAACAATAATGACGCCGTCGGATAACTACGGGCAAACGTCCTCAAGTCTCGACCCTGGCTACGAACGTTGTCCGAGGATCTTCGGCCAATCAGATCCCGGTACGTGGAGAACCAAAACAACGACCCTGGGACCACTCGGCATGTACAACCAAAACAACAACTAGGACAAACCCGTAGGTAGAACCGAAGACACCGACCCCCCTGCGGCCCTTCGGCGCGACATGCTCGTGAGCCGACATCCGCCATCCCTACAATCTATCGCCGGGAGCGTGACCGCTTCACCGGCCGGCCACCGGCCACCGTCCCCGCCCCCGCCGCCGCCTCCGAAGACTTCCTCCGCTTGGACGACTTCCCACTGCCGCCGCTGCTGGCCCTCCCTCCACCGGTGCTGCCGTTGCGCTTGCCCAGGCTGCTGCTGCTGCTGCCGCCACCACCGTTTGCCCTGGTCACTTTCCCGGCACTCCTGCCTCCCGCTCCTCCTCCCCTCTTGGAAGGAGTCCCGCATGACGTGAGGTCGTCCAGCTCTTTCGTAAGGGAGCTGATCTCCTGGCGCCACCGGTCTGCGTCATGGCCGCTCTCCACCTCCGAAACCTCGGCTGTCGCCTCGAGCACTTGCTCCAGCGCGGGGATAAGGTTCTGCGACAAAAAAAAAAAAAAACGCGCGCGTGCATGACGACGCCAGAGCAAGGGTTATTTATAGCTGCGAAGAAAACATCAGCAAGGAACGAAACAAGACACGCGCAGACAGGGCAAAGACCATTGAGCACCGATGTGCGAGATTGACGGTCGGTTGAAAGGTTGGTGGCCATGGCTCAAAAGGGGTGATGTCACGGTGACGTTACGGTTGGGAGGTCGCGAACGAGAATGGCAACCAACCCTAACCCTAACCCCAACTACATGCGTCGCGTTGTCCACACCGGCCGGCGGGACACCTTCACCGTGAACACGATAGGTGCTCATCTGTCGTTCTAAATGAGAGGCCGGCGGTCAGCATGCCCACTCGCAGGGGAATAGCCCCTCTGCTTCGGTAATACTGGTGATGAGGGTCTCAGGCGCTCCAGCAATCAAAGCAGCGGCAGCAGCAGCAACAACAGCAACAACCAATGACAAATCGTCTCGTTCCAGCTGCAGCACACAGCGGCCATGCATGCCCGCGATGACACCAAGACTACCGTCACCCCTGGCCTGCTAAAAGCACATGCAGAGGCTGAGAAAAAACAACCCTTGTTCCTCACCCCAAAGCTGCCGCAGGTTATTCCTTGACAGGCGCGTCAAGAACAAGTCCCCTAGGACAACCCCCCTGCAAACTATAACTAGTAGATTGCGTGTCAAGGACAAGGACATACACTGTAACTAGTACATTTAGCCAAAAGATGCCCTGACGGGCTGTCAAGGAAGCGTCAACCGACGACCCCTTTTTCACCTTGAGCTGCTTGACGAACCGCTCCGTCTTCACGTACTCGGGCGTGAGGTGAGGTGGCATGGCACCGTAGACGATCCTAAGCCTGTTTAGGCTGTCGGGGTCCTTGGCGGGAGGCATGTAACCGTTCCGCTCCTACAAAAAGAAAAATACAGTGAAACGCGGCAAGCAAGCAGAGTATACAGACGAAAAAAACATGAAACCCCACAACCGAAAATTATTTGGCACCGATAAAAATGGAAAGGAAAAAGCAGGGAAGAAACGCGGCAAACAGAAAATACAATCATACCTCATGACAGGTGGATTTCTC